AGTAAACGGCAAGACACGAACTACCATGATGCTGACTCAATTAATTATTTAAACACGTGGTGAAGTCATATAAACTTAATACCTTTGTTACAATACACAGGGTGTAGCTTGTATACCTGTCATTGCAAGACAAGGCCATTATATCATATATTGCAATAGCATTCCTACGTAGCTGTTGACTGAGATTGATATTTCTTTAATCCGCAGGCTAAACAATTGCACTAAGCAAAAGTCGATAATAATTAAGTCTTCGGTTTCAATAACATCAGATCGATTGTTTTGCTCCACTCCTATCCATTTATCCATGCTAGGCAATACATAATGCTTAAACAATGAAAAATATCGAATTTTTTTTGGAGATTATTGATTGTCATGTGTACTTTTCCCGTGTTGCTGTATAGCTTCAAGTGCTAGTTAAGCTTCCCCATAGAAATATGCACCTACAACAGTTACAGTAACGTAAGAAATATCCACCTACAACAGTTACAGTAACGTAAGAAATATCCACCTTTAACAGTTACAGTAACGTAAGAAATATCCACCTTCACCAGTTACATCACCGTAAGAAAATTCCACCTGCAACAGTTACAGTAACTGTACAGTAAGAAATATCAACATACAACAATTTATACCCACATCAGTGAAAGTGACTTCAGAAATATCCTTATCTTTTTGCAACAATTACAGTATTTGGAACATATCCTCCTTCTACAAACGTTAAAGTATCGTAAAAACATACTCAACAGTAACTATCAGTTATATTGATCACCTTTTATTGCTGCATTTTCCTTTGCATAGCATATTGCAAGAGTAGGCATGCCTATGCATTTTTATGTGCACACATATATTTACATTTACAGTACATTCTAAAGTTAATGGACAATCTTTAATGTATTAATGGATGTATCTGATGTATAACATCTTCATATGCACAGCTTTTTTCGTTATAGTATTTGTGTTATACATTTGAATTCAATAAGACTATTTTGTCAAATTAAACCATTTTCAAAATTAGAAAAAATATATCTTGTATTACACAGTGGTAGTATTCAAGTTTTTGTCATTGCCATGGCACTGCTTATCACCAGCACATCAGAGTGTGTCACTGGGAGATAATATCTCTCCAATCGAGATAGTGCTGTCGTAATCTAAGATAAACTTATATGTCTTTGCCTCTATCTCTGTATTAGGGATACGAAAAAGAACAGCATTGTGATTTTTATTAAGACATCGACTGGAGGATTTGAAGATACATTTTTACCCGAGACCAATCAAGCAGCTATGCTATGACATATTGGTAAAGAGAGAGAAAGCGAGCATAACCCCTGGAGTATCGAGGATGGGTTATATGACGCATTCGACATCTGTTACAGTATCGTAAGGAAGTCACTGAAGATATTCCTCCATGCACTGTGACTTAAACTAAAGGCACTTAAGGCAAGCCAATTATAAAACACCATAGGTTTGAACCCTGATCGGCCTCTATAGTTGATATAGTGTTTAGAGGCCGATCAGGTAAAGGGCCGATCTTTTTCTTATTGCTCTATTTCTTGGCTAAACTCAGTGCCTGTGCTTGAAATGAAAAGACGGATAGGAAAATCTAAGACTTTCTGCAGATATAAGGTTACGTTGAACAGTTGAAAATTGATATACCTCTCTCTTCTGTATCATTGTATCTTTTGCTTTGTTTGCCAAAATGAAACATTTTGACTGCAATTTGTGTGAAGGTATATGGTAATACCACGTGTTATAATGGGTATCAAACAAAACGGCTCGGACGTTCAATAATAATGTGCGGCCTCTGTGCCATATGGCTGGTCAAGAATTATCTATTGTAAAAAAAGTAAAAAATTGAATTCATAGAATATTTATTTCTATACTAAATTGATATGATAAAGTTACTGATCTATGTATATATGTTTATTGTAACTTTCATTTCAAAATATAACTTAGATTAATAATAATTGTTCATAAGCATCACAAGCATTGATTTTTGAATAAATTGGCTACCTTCAGTCATAATTAAAATATAATTCCATATACGTCTGTTGCCACCTGTGTATTATTTATATGGAGAGGGCTTTACAAATGCTGTGACTGTCGTCAAATCCCATTGACAATATAACATACTGGTCAATACGGGAATCATTCGAGCGTATCAGAATGTTTCCCTCAACTACTTTGCAGTGTTATTATAGCTATCAGGTGAATTTCCTAATATGAAAAGGTTAATTGTTTTTCTAATGTTTCCCACCTATCAATATGAATATGCATAGGCATTGCAAAAATAGTCATGTTTACCGAGATACGTTTTTATGTAATTTCAGGAGCCTAATTAATTCAGTAAAATATCAGTTTAAAACAGTTATTTTCTGATTTTATCAGCTTTATGTAGAATAATTAACTATATATAGCATTCATATTTGTAACAGACATCTGTTGAGTTTCAAAAGAAAAGAGTTAAGTGCCGAATTTCGTTTTTGTCCATTAAATGGTTGTTCAAACAGTTGAGTTATGGATCTGGGTAGTCTATCATGGCCGATTGAACGTTATGTATTTTGACACAAATTGAAAATTATTAACAAAATTACAATGTCAGTCGTCACTTTTACCTTTCTCCGACGATATTTATTTTGCTTTAAAGACGTCTAAAGAACCTGAAACACTTAACGACCATCTTTTTATAATACTATGATTTAACTTGATTGCCCCTCCAACCAACACACACACACACAAATGGTGTCAGTACGCCTTTCAGTCTTGTTATATACTTGAACTTCAACATTATTTAAACAATACCAACAATTAGGAGACAATTCGGATGTTCGGAGAACTACCTAGTTTTTGTATTATCGTAAACCAAGACCCCCAAGAAGCTTATCTCGCTCTCTTGTTCTTTGTAACAAGGGTTGATTCTTTGGCCTACATCAATGGTCAAGGTTATTTATTGAACATACTCGAAGCTCCTTATTTAAGAAAAATTAAGGCAAGAGAAGAAGTCGTTTGGCGTGAATATTTGTCCTTGACGCCTTGCAGAAAGGTAGAGGTTAAGCGGCGAGCGCCGCACCAAAACATAAGATCACGTGAACATCTTAATAGATAAGAACAAAAAGTTCCATGACCGAAATTTACATACTCATGTGCAGAAAATTACAAAACCAAACACTGGAATTATTCAAAAATGCTGATTCAGGGACTTGTACTAGATACTTTTAACAAAATTATTTAAAAGTATAGTTCCTTTTCTAGGTGTGTATAAGTAGATCGTATAAACGATTCCTTATGTTACCCTATGGGATAACGATACGCCCACGCGTGACACAGATTTCAAAACGTGATTCTCTTTGGTAGTTATACTGACTTCGGGTTTTGTAAATAATGACCTCAGATTATTTTTCTGTTTAAAAAAAAATCCCCATCTTCTCACTGTCAACAAACACAGAGTACGTTACGACAAAGGTGGCGAAGATTCTGTCAGTCTAGAAAGTTCTAAACTACGTTGATCATTTTTTTTTATATACATTTTTTTTGCATCGAAAACGCCATTTTCTTCCAGTCAAAGCTAAAGTAGGTATTTGTTCTTGAGTGTGACTTAAAGGGTGGTTCGGTTGCACAGTACATAGCGCCCTCGTCTCCCAAGATGGCCGGATTCGATCCCGGTCACCTGCCCGACCACGCAGGTTTTTCTCCGGATATTTCGGCTTAATTCCACATTAAGAATTAAATCTTCTGCGTATTGAGATGAGTTGAGAAAACACTGTTTGGTAATTGCTATAAAAAAAAGGTCATATCAAATATTTGACGACTAATCTAAGTAAATGTATCAAATATTAGTTAAAAAAATAGAGAACATTTTCATACTTTGGTGTAACTTAGATTGCCGTTATATCGAAATGTCATCACAATTCTTGTTCCATCCTGAAACATTTTTGTTCAAATTTTGTTAAAGTCACCGAGGTTTGACAGGTAGGGATACCAAATGGAAATAAAACAGTTTCTATCTGTAACACTAGTTATAAGTCGGCACGTGTGGTGGAAAAGTAATAAGCTGCTGAATAAGGGCGTTACACTAAGGTTGTTGATCTGGAAAATCATTGTTGATTTCAATATAAATGTATTATTTAATGTTTCTTTTATGAGTGGTGATGCATAAATAAATTGTTTAAGACTTTAACAAGACTTTAAAAAGTGTTAATAATTTCGTTCGTATTTTCAACAAAAGGAATCAAAAGCTGATGAAATTGAGGTGATGAAAAAATCGATGCACACGTAGACCTATTGGCTTAATGCCAGCTTTTTTTGAAGATATATCCTGGTATAAATATTAATAGAACCTGGCTGATGATAAAAAGGATCTTCAGAAAATAGCAGCAGTTTTACAAGTGGCAAAAATAGAAATAAAAAGTCCTGAAGCACCGACAAAGAGAAAAATGCAACGGACATCAGTTCCAAGATTTTGCGGGTGTTTTTCATCCTTCCGGAAATAACCGATTAAAGATGATGGAGAATGAGTATGATAATCTCTAAACGAAGTACCATGCATGTAAGTATCACATTTTATGTGATGGAAATTTTACACTCAAAATGTGTGTTAGTTTTTATCTAAATCGGAAAAGTGTAGAAATATAACAACAGTTCTGTATACGTGTTCTGTTAGTTTATTTACCCTAGCAAGGATGATGACGTTGATACACTTGACGGCTACTTCCAGGGGAATACAAATAAGGCCAATGTGTAGTAAGGAAGAGCAACTCTGTTTACGCTCGCATGTGTTACCATTAAAGAGCTTTACTCGGACGCCAAGAGCTACGCTCTTATAAATCTTATAAATCTTATAAATTAAGAAATTAGGATTTATCAGTGGTTACATAGTTATTCAACGTAAAAATATATCTTATGATATGAAATAAATGTATTATGTACTTTCTTTAAAAAAAACATTGGCTGGNCTTTACTCGGACGCCAAGAGCTACGCTCTTATAAATCTTATAAATCTTATAAATTAAGAAATTAGGATTTATCAGTGGTTACATAGTTATTCAACGTAAAAATATATCTTATGATATGAAATAAATGTATTATGTACTTTCTTTAAAAAAAATATTGGCTGGCTAAATATAGCTTTTAACTTGGAATTGATTAAATTATTGTAGTTTTCATTTTCCTTATCCATACTGACATGCGTGAATTCGGCATGCTCTTCTTTGTGATTAAAAAGCCTTTAATTCTTTCCAAACATTGCAAATTGCCTAAATTTTTGTGCATATTTATTAGTCTTTCCTAAAAAAAGATTCACTGAAATGTCTGGTGAATATTTGCAAGCTTCCGGCTTCCGACCATACACCTCTGCCAACTCTCGGAAGTAAAACGGAGAGTTCCCGCAGCAAAGACCGATATAATTGACACCAATCGCCTTTGCCTCCTCTGCACATTCCCGAATGTCATCCCGGCTGCTCATTACGCACGCCAGATTTCTTGGATACACATCCTTTCCTACCAAAAAAAGGAAATATCTTCGGTTAGGAGTTTCGTCACTTAGCCTCCACTCATTATATAATGATAATATCACAATGTACCAATGTTTCAATGGCACATGGAAAAATAAGCAAATACAGTTGATCATCTATCTATCAATGGCATGCAATATTGAAAGTCCGTTGTCACATGTAGATCAATTAGGTTTATATTTGATTATATCAAATCAAAATAGAAGTGACGATATCTTTACATTTTATGCATTAAATAGTTATTCTTTAGTTATTACAATATATGCATAATTCTATTAAGTTACCACGTGCACTTTATTTGACATTATGATATAAACATATGAACCAACCCGTGTCTGGATCCTTTAGCGAGTGCCATGTTCGGCAATCTTCCTTGGTCCTGTACGTCACGGGAAGAGCGGCTATTGGACCCTGTTGAAGCAACATTTTGAGATACCGTTGTCTTTTTAATGGTAGAATAAATCAATCAATATATATGTGCATATAATATTCATTTTTAGAGGTATAGAAGTGTGCATTTTTAGGAAAGGGAATACAAATTATTTATTTCACAATTTATTTATTGTGATAATATATATTGATTGAAGTTGGTAATTAGAAAATCTTTTCTGTTTATTACTGAGCACTAAATTACACACATTGCACGCCTTTCTTATCTCTCTAAGGGCCGGAATCATGGTGCTAGGTCCACGCCCACAGTTAAGGCCCACTACGGCCGCCCCTGCTTCCTCAAGCTTACGACAGGCCTCCGCTATTGGCACGCCGTCCATCGTCTCGTCCGGAATTAAGCACGAGAGAGTTACTACAGCGGGGATACCTGTATTAAGATTATATAGTAACAGTGTCAATAGATTCGCAATACACAAATAAAAAACGATAAATGTATATATGGTAAGACACAAACTTCCAGGATGCTGACTCCATTAAATATGACGACGTTATATTAATTTTATACCTTTGTTGCAATATATAGAGTGAAGCTTATGTTATATAAATATACCTGTCGTCTCATGACATTATACAATACATAGAGTGAAGCTTATGTTTATATAAATATACCTGTCGCCTCATGACATTATACAATACATAGAGTGAAGCTTATGTTATATAAATATACCTGTCGTCTCATGACATTATACAATACATAGAGTGAAGCTTATGTTATATAAATATACCTGTCGTCGCATGGCATTATCCAATACATAGAGTGAAGCTTATGTTATATAAATATACCTGTCGTCGCATGACATTATACAATACATTCCAATAAAATGGCTAGGTAGCTGTTGACTGAGAGTGAGATTTTCTTAAATTCGAAGGCCAAACATTTACACCAATCTAAAAATCGGCAATAATTTAGTCTTCGGTTTCAACACTCCTGTTTGGTACACTCCTTTTTATTTGTCCATGCCGGGCAATAAATGATTAAACAATCAAACCGATGGTTATAAAAAAATTCAATTGCTTTTGACGATTAATGCTTGTCATGTGTACCTTTCCCGTGTTGCTGTATAGCTTCAAGTGCTAGTTTAGCTTCCCCATAAGAATGTATCGTCTCCGCTATAATGTAGTCAGCCCCCTCCTCAGCAGCCCACTCCACCTGCTCCTGTAGCAAGAAATGTTGGTTATATGCGTTTGTAATATTGAAGAAAAAAATGTCAGAAGCCGAGGAGAAACAAAAGCAAAACAAAAGCACCGCATGCCCCAAGCTGTATGTTGTTGCTTTGATTTGTACTCTAACAAGACATTATACTTTTAACTTTGACTTTAAAATTGATTTCAACGATTGACTACATTTTATCACCTTGAACATGGACCTGACTTTGTCATGTGTTTCTAAATTATCCTCTTCATAGACAGTAGTACAACAAAGTCCGCCAGCCATAAGAGTCCCCGTCTCGTTGGCAACCTCTCGTGCGATTTTCAGAGCCGTTCTATTGAGTTTCTCCAAGTCATCCTCGCGTCCGATGGCTCTGAGTTTCTCTCTGTGTCCATAATACTACAAGATTGCATATAGGATAAAATAACTTGATTTTTACAGGATATATAGTATTAAAAACAATAACCGAATTGATAAAAAAAAAATCAACAATGGTGATTGTCTTGACTCAGTACCGAATAACAAAAGGAACGTTTTATTTGGAATGTTAAGACTGTATAATGTGTTGCAACAGGTTCAAGCCACACCAATTCTGGTCACAATTGCTATTAAAATATTCATATTTGCGGACAGTAATTCGCCTTTAACTGCATATTCAATAATCGACATGTTCTGATCCGAAATAAAATAATAATGAAGAAAAGAAGTTCAAGATCACTTTCTGTAATTTAATAATCATAAATCTGTATATGACAAGATGACTATTTTGTATAATTTATTTTTAGAAATATCGCACAATAAATAAGGAAAGTGTTGAGACACCTTCAGCCCACCAGAGTCTGACTTTTAACCATCTTACCGTGAACGCTTCTACCACATCAGTTCCAGCATGTATAAATTCCTTGTGTAGTCCCTGAACCATTTCCGGGTGTTCTAAAACAACTTCCGGTATAAACCCTCCCGCCTGCAAATAGCCTCTTCTCTCCATTTCCATCACATATCCTTCCGCTATCAGGACATGTCCACCGTTTTTTAGCCGTTCCAACAAACCTTTTTATCAAAAGTATTGCTATGAGACATACATGACATGTGAGATGATCCTATTAAGATTTATACATACTTAGCCAGTTACTGGAATGTGATATAATTGATGACGATAAAAAAGGATTAACAACACAGAAAAACTATAGTATATATGATTATGCAGTTGCAAAGCTGGTCTTTTTACTTTTGTTTTGAGGCATTCATATGAACAGAACAAAAATTAATACTCAGAAGTCAGGATATTGATCTTCTCGACTAAGCTTTATGTGAATATTATAAGAATATTGAAAATGGTATTAGCAAAATTTCTTGAAGGCGTTTGGCGTTGTAATATTTATTAAAGGGGTGGTGGTTTTTTTTGTAACATTTAAATCTAAGCTTAGCTGAAGAGACAAATTGTTCAATAGCGAATGTTCACTCTCTATTTTCATCTCTTATTTTCTAATTGCTGTTCCATGATGTAACGTTTCCCGTTTCCCAAAAGTAAGTAATGAATTTTTGATTTAACTCCTTAAACTATCAGCATTTTTTTTTTTATATTTTTGGGAAAATTGAAAAATAAATCAACGGAAAAACTATGTCAACTCAGAACCTCCTTTACTGTTAAGTGAGTGGAACCTTATATTACTGAACGTCCAACTAGAACAAGCAGTATCGGTTTAACCAATAATTATAGTATTTTGGGGGTTCTGGAACATTATGTAGGGTATAGCGAAAAGGGAAAAGGGCGGCTCCACGTTACAGATTTACGACTATTAATTTATACTTAAACAAGTGTTTTATGTAAACTCTGCCAAATCACAAGGCTAGGGTCGATCGATCGCGAGGGGACTGATAGTCCACTAGCAGAGTTACTCAACCTGTTGCCCAAGATATGAACCTAATTACAACTGTAAAGTTTCGTCGACGTAATATTATCCTCTTTGAGTAAAATACAGATCTTAAACTTTTTAATCTTTCTAGAGAAAGGAAAATTAACATCCAATAAAATATTTTATGGTGATGAGACCATTATTGTCAAGATATGCAGGTGAAGAAAAATGTATGATTATTTTGAAGGATAACTGAGAAACAAGTATGTTATCAAATCATCTTAAAGAGAAACGACAGGTTGGAGTAAGGATCATATAACCTTTCTTTTTGACAGCTTTGATTCAAGATTTTAAGGAATGAATGAGATAGAATATAGGAAGGCTTGAGATATGATCGTTCACAGAGTGGACTTTATGAGGTGTAATCCTGCAAAAAGTTGGATGATATGAAATATGATTCTTCAGAGTAGAGGATATGAGGTGTGATCTTTCACAGGGTAGAAAATGTCTTTATCTATAGAGAAAGGGATCTGAAAGTATGAAGATATGATCAGTCATCCGTCACAGATAAGGATATGAAATCTCCCACTGAGTAAACGAATCTCATGTCTGGGGATATTAGATGTGACCCTCCACCAAGTAGGGGATAAGAGTTATGGTGTTCTACAGACAAAGCAGATTTGAGCTGTAGTATGAGACACTGTAGTTCTTACCTCCTGATGCCATCCCAAATATGCTCTGCTTACAGCAATCTCAGAAGTATGAAAACGAGTCCAATATCCACCTTTAACAGTTACAGAAAAGTAAACAATATCCAACTACAACAGCTGCAGTGTTATAAGAAATATCTACCTACAATAGTTACAGTAACGTAAGAAATATCCACATACAACAGTTATAGTAACGTAAGAAATATTCACCTTCAACATTTACAGTAACGTAAGAAATATCCATCTTCAACAGTTACAGTAACGTAAGAAATATTCACCTTCAACATTTACAGTCACGTAAGAAATATTCACCTTCAACATTTACAGTAACGTAAGAAACATCCACCTTCAACATTTACAGTAACGTAAGAAATATTCACCTTCAACATTTACAGTAACGTAAGAAATATCCACCTTCAACATTTACAGTAACGTAAGAAATATTCACCTCCAACATTTACAGTAACATAAGAAATATTCACCTTCACCAGCTACAGTAACGTAAGTAATATCCACCTTCAAAATTTACAGTAACGTAAGAAATATCCACCTTCAACATTTACATTAACGTAAGAAATATCCACCTACAACAGTTACATCATCGTGAGAACAATCCATGAACAACAGTTAGACTAACGTAAGAAATATTCACCTTCAACAAAAACATATCCTTCTACAATAGGTATAGGATCGTAAGAAAAACCTTCCTACAAAAGTTACAGCCTCGTAAGAAAAACCTTCCTACAACAGTTACAGTATCGTAAGTAATATCCACCTACAAAAGTTACAGCCTCGTAAGAAAAACCTTCCTACAACAGTTACAGTATCGTAAGTAATTTCCACCTACAACATTTACNAGTAATATCCACCTACAACAGTTACAGTATCGTAAGTAATATCCACCTACAACAGTAACAGTAACATAAGTTATATCTCATACAACAGTTACAGTAACATAAGTAATATCCACCTACAACAGTTACAGTATCGTAAGAAAAACCTTCCTACAACAGTTACAGTATCGTTAGTAATATCCACCTACATGAGTTACAGTATCGTTAGTAATATCCACCTACAACAGTTACAGTAACATAAGTTATATCTCATACAACAGTTACAGTAACATAAGTAATATCCACCTACAACAGTTACAGTATCGTAAGAAAAACCTTCCTACAACAGTTACAGTATCGTAAGTAATATCCACCTACATGAGTTACAGTATCGTTAGTAATATCCACCTACATGAGTTACAGTAACATAAGTTATATCTCATACAACAGTTACATAATGGTAAGAAATATCCTCCTACAATAGTTATAGTATTGTAAGTAATTTCCTCTCACCTCAGTTACTGTAACGTAAGAAATATCCACTAAGAGCAGTTACAGTATAGTAAGAAATGTCTTCCTACCATAATTGCAGTAACTTAAGAAATATCCACCTTCAACAGTTACAGTAACGGACTACACATCCCTGTTTAAAGTTAATTAAAGCAATAAACATGAGTCACTAACAATTATATTGACCATCTGCATTGCAGCATTTTCCTTTGATTAGCATATCACAAGAGTATGCATGTTTATACAGATTTATGTGCACACATATATGTACATTAACACGTATAGTATATGTTTGCTAATACAGCTGTTCTCAAATAATGGACAATCTTTAATATAATCATGGATGTATCTTATTTATAACATTTTCATATGCACGGCTATTAGTATGTCACATATGGCATAAAAATACTGTATGAATTGATATTTTCATCATATCATATGATTTGATTTTATCATTATATGATTTGATATCATCATAATATTATTTGATTTCATCATTATGTGATTTAATTTTATCATTATATTACATGCTGTCATCATAATATGATTCGGTTTCACAAATATATGATTTAATTTTAGTAATATATGATTTAATTTTATCATTATATGATATGATTTTTCCATTATATCATATGACTTCATCAATACATTATTTGATATCAGCAATATATAATATTAATTTATCATAATATGATTTGGTTTCCTTGTATTGTAAGCTTTCATCATTATATAATTTGATTTCATCATTATATGATTTGGTTTCACCAATATATGATTTAATTTTATCAATATGTGATTTAATTTTATCATTATATGATATGATTTTACCATTATATTATATGATTTCATCAATACATTATTTGATATCAGCAATATATTATTTTATTTTATCATTATGATTATGATGTGGTTTCCATTGTATTGTAAGCTTTCATCATTATATCATTTGATTTTATCATTATATGATTTGATTTAATCATTATATGATTTGATGCTATCGTTATTTTTGATTTTATTATATTTTATCATTATACCATTCCGTCCTCATATTATTCACAAACATCATGATATGATTGCAACGTACCATTATATGATTGTACAACTTCATTATATTATTGTACAACTTCATTATATTATTGCACAACTTCATTATATTATTGTACAACTTCATTATATTATTGCACAACTTTATTATATTATTATATAACTTCATTATATTATTGTACAACTTCATTATATTATTGCACAACTTCATTATATTATTGTACAACTACATTATATTATTGCACAACTTTATTATATTATTGTACAACTACATTATATTATTGCACAACTTTATTATATTATTGTACAACTTCATTATATTATTGCACAACTTTATTATATTATTATATAACTTCATTATATTATTGTACAACTTCATTATACGTTGCTATACACTTTAGTTCAATAGACACTTTTTTGTGAAATTAATGGCTTAATCAAAATGTAATTTTTTTTTACCTTGTATTGCACAGTGGTAGTATTACAGCTTTTGTTCCTGACGTGGCACTGCTTATCACCTTCACATCAGACTTGTGTCACTGGGAAAACATTATCTCTAAACAAATATAGGGCAGTCACAATCTCAAATGGATTCCATATACTTGTTTAAGGAATTTAATAGGAACTGAATTGTGATTCTTATTCTGTCATCGACAGGAAGATTTGAAGCTGCGTGTGACGTATCCAAGAAATGTACAAGGACAGGTTCACTGATGCATTACCAAAATTACCACTGTACGTGTGCAGTTCACACCACTGCTAAACCCTGCATATCCTACATGGAGGTACAGAATGGTATTAAAATCAAATATGCAACTTTATGATTTTGGTTTAATTTAATTACCTCTTTACAAATATTCATATTCAAATAACAGCAAAATCAACATATTCCGTTTCCCAATAAAATCGTTCCTGTATTTTTTTTATGTTTATCATGCGATTAATGAAGTTTCAACAAAACCTCTATTCGAACTTAAAATGATAAAGCTAGAAAATATAATTACATAAACAAAGGGAAGACTTAAATTAGGATCTCGAAAACGTACACTGAAAATAAGACCACGTGTTCCGGAAGTGTAAGCGGCTTATGCTTCATCGACACCTTCTGTCATATAGTAATAAGTAACACATACCACACAATAAAATGTTTCCTCAATAAGATCATGATTGAAACCATAATACATAAGCATTTCTCAAAGCACTGTGTTATAAGTTTATATGTCGCGTTCGACATCTGTTACGGTATCGTAAGGAATACACTGAATATTGATATGCGACATGCTAACATAAACATGTAGCTGTTGAA